CGTGTTTCTGTTCCCATCCTCAGGTACTCGGCCCACCTTGGCCAGCGCTGCAGTTTTTCCTGCTGCGGGTGCATTAATTGCTACAGACACAGCCAAGCTGGTCTGAGGGACTCGGGACACCAGGAAGCGCTGAGGGAAGGGCTCTGGGGCAGGGAAGAGAGGATCGTGCAGTGCCACTGCACTGAAGACCAAGGACGTCACCGTAGACCTGCTGGTGGAAGCAGCACAACACTGAGCCAGTTTTCCTTTGGCTTTGTAACAGCAGCCACGGAAGCACCAAGCAGAAAGCAGGCAATGCCCAGAGATTCATCACTGCTCCTGTTCAGCTCATCCCAGAGCTGGGTGACCCCACTCCTCACCAGCATCAGTTACCTGCTGGAAGCACTGGGGAAAAGAGAAAAGCTTCCTCCCCCCATGGAGGACCACTACTTTAGTCAGGTTCTTCGTAGTTTTGAAAGATAGGGGTACAAAAGCAGCCTGCACAGCATCTTCTAACAAACTCACCATACAGAATGGACTATTCAGAACCCAGCACTGGAGGTTACATGGTGGCCAGATTATCTGATGTATACTCAGCACTCAAGCCTGCCAAAAGTCATCACTGGCACGGGAACAGAGCGACTGAGAATATCAGATCACAGAATCATCCCCAGTTAACCCCCAAGGACACAAACAAGTCTGGGGGATAAGGAAATCCCCGCAGAGCCTTAATCTGAAAGAAGCAGCCATTTCACAGCAACTCGCTCATGAAGTAAAGGAATTTGTTGGGGTTACCTGTGTTTAGACAAGTCTATGAGTGAGGACAGGACTGGTTGCTTTCTAGGAAGCAATCTATTCCTAGCCTTTAATGGAAATCTCCAAAACACTTTGGAATTGGCTGATTTGCTGTATTAAGGGAAGCTTCACCTTACCCTTCCCATAGATGAGGTAGCTTTCTACACATTGAAAGCATGCTAAAAATGCAGCTAAGCTTAAAAACCGTGCAGAGTCTGTAGATGAGCTGTGAACTCTTCTCCTGAAGGACATCGGTCTGCGAGCTGCAGTCCTGAGCAGTTCCAGTCTTAGACCTTCACGCGTTCATTTCCTCCTCTGTTGTAAGAAGCCGTGGGGTCAAGCAGCCTTGGCGGGGGCTGCTCCACGGTCCCTGCAGCAATCGGGACAGATGCGGCCAGTGTCAGCAGGGAACTAAACCACTTCCTACCCTCTACAGTTCTTAGCCAGTATTGTCTACAGAGCAGGTTGTGGCACCTCTGGGCAGGCAGCTATTTTAAGACCAACAGCAATACAAACTAACATGATTCAATCACATTTTCCTCCTGAACAGGACACGTACACCAAAGATGCCAAGGGAACAAGGTGAAAAATGGTGTTCATGCTATGAGCTGCTCTAGGCTTTCATCTCAAAAGCCCAGCAGTTCAGAAAGAGTTCGAAAAAGAAGAGGGTTCTGTCAGCAGAAATGCTGGGAAGCAGTTTCCATCCCTTCAGGAAAACAGCCAGCAATCTCTCTCACACTGAAAAAGTCCACTTGTCTCAGCTTCCATATGACATGAAAGTTTATCCCTTCTGTGTGAACACAAGGCTGCTTAAAACAAGTAAAGCACAAGGCAGAAGCCAAGCAAGTGCCAGCCCTGACAGACAATGACCCAGAGCAGTCCAAGCCACAGTGAAGGAGCAATGCAGAGCTCCAGATACACCCAGGGTCAGGGAACACCTGCATGTCCCTCCCTGACATCATGAAAACAAACAGAAGTTACAGATAACATGCTGCTGTGACAGCTGTGACAAGGCCTCTTTATCAAAAATGACAACTCACTGGAAGGCATTCACCACCTGTCTGCACCAGGGACCATCCTGTTGCCATTGGATTGCTTAACACCCGAGCAGGCTGCAGCAGCTCAAGTACAGCACCAAGTGCACTGTGAGACACCCTGAGGCAGAGCCCTGACAAGAAAATGGATAAAGCTGAGGACAATGCACGTAAGAGACAATCAGAGCACAACACATCCTCGCAGTCTTTGTGGTGACGAGTTACGGCATTTCAGGAAAGCAGAAGAAAGTTCCCAGCATTCTGGTAGAGAGCAGAATGAAGCCACGGGAGAAGCCCAGTTCTCTGCTACATCGCTGTCTCCACTGAGCTCACACATGAGGGCATGCAAGTCAAATCCTGTCGGCTTTTATGATCTCACCGTAGCTCTCAGCAGCCCAGCTACCCCATTATGTGCCTAAAGCATACCCAGCCCACCTGACACCCAGTCACGAGAATCACAGAATCACAGAACATTAGGGATTGGAAGGGACCTCAAAAGATCATCTAGTCCAATCCCCCTGCCGGAGCAGGAACACCCAGATGAGGTTACACAGGAAGGCGTCCAGGTGGGTTTTGAATGTCTGCAGAGAAGGAGACTCCACAACCTCTCTGGGCAGCCTGTTCCAGTGCTCTGTCACCCTCACTGAGAAGAAGTTTCTGCTCAAATTGAAGTGGAACCTCCTGTGTTCCAGTTTGTCCCTGTTACCCCTTGTCCTATCGTTGTTTGTCACCGAGAAGAGCCTGGCTCCATCCTCGTGACACTCACCCTTTAAATATTTATAAACATGAATGAGGTCTCCCCTCAGTCTCCTCTTCTGCAAACTAAAGAGACCCAGCTCCCTCAGCCGCTCCTCATCAGGGAGATGCTCCACTCCCTTAATCATCTTTGTAGCCCTACACTGGACTCTCTCCAGCAGTTCCCTGTCCTTCTTGAACTGAGGGCCCAGAACTGGACACAGTATTCCAGATGCGGTCTCACCAGGGCAGAGTAGAGGGGGAGGAGAACCTCTCTGCCCTACAACCACCCCTCTCCTGATATACCCCAGGATGCCATTGGCCTTCTTGACCACAAGGGCACAGTGCTGGCTCATGGTCATCCTGCTGTCCACCAGGACCCCCAGGTCCCTTTCCCCTATACTGCTTTCCCACAGGTCATTGCCCAATTTATACTGAGAAGCCCCGAGCCCGGCGGGTACGCAGGTTTTCAGTGCCACCAACGTTTGTTGACAGGGCTCAAGTGAAGCAGCATGGCAGCAGCTGGAGATTTGGGGCTTCCTGCCATGTATTTACTTGTTTGAAGTGAACTCAACAACAAACACAGCAACGGAGACAGTTCTGAGGAAGCGGTCATATTTCGCCTCTTCTGCCATAATCAGGGAAGCGACAGCCTTAAAAATGGCAGCTGCAATCCAGGCTCATTGAAAAGCTCTGTATCTGCCCTGAAACCTATTGAGCTGATCTGCCTTCTCCTCTCTATTGATCAGCAGGGTGTGTGGGGTGAGGGGCAGCACTAAAACCACTGCCTCCCAGGCACTTTCCAGCGATGCCATCGATGCCATCGCTGGTGACACCACAACCATCTCCACGGTGACACAGCAACGCAACTGAACCCGAACAGGAGGAGGCCAATTAGAACAAGAAAGCTCTTTTGTGGTTGGAAATGCAGTAATTGACAGAAATAAGAGAAGCTGCTATAGGAAGTGCATCGTTCCAACAAGAAAAGCCTTGCTTTTAGTTTGCAAGGTGAGCCTGAACCCCTCAAACCATGGCTAAGTATGAAAAAGCCCTTCTAGACTGAAAGGCTAAACCCCATGACAGCATTGGATGAGCGTGCTGAAGAACACCGAGCACAGCCTGGAGCAGAGGGGTCCCCTCTCCTCTCCCCTCACGTCAAGTTCTCCTTTCCACTGTAACCTGCTCCCATGCTTAGGAGGCTCCTCAGCCCCTCACGCTCAAGCAAAGCTTCTCAAGTGCTTTCCAACCTGCGACAACTGGCACACACCGCGTGTGGGGGGAACACACAAAAGAAACCAGCCCAAGGCTGTCAATCCACAGTGACTCATGCCAGCCAGGACTCCACCTCCAGGGGTGAAGCATGCTCAGGATTTGAAATAGATGACATGAGCAAGACCTGGACCCTGTGTGCATCAACATCATCTTGTGTTCAACCTCCGAACCAGCGAGGCGCACACAGGAGCAATCCCTGCTGGTGTAAGCTCAACTGTCATGGTGCTGCTGGGGGCACATTAAGCCAAATCTGAGCCCTGACTGATCTCCGCTCTCCACCCTGCAGCACACGAGGTGCAGTAACAGCGATAAGCCAGCTGCTGCCTTGCTCAAGCGGCCAGGAGCAACACAAAGCTGGGAAGAAAGCCCCAGGGCAAAGCAGCTGTTTAGAGTGCACCGCCATCGAGCTTCAAAGCCTTAGGCACCTCCTGCTTTAGGTTCAGCCCATTTAATAATAGGCTACATTCAGGAGTATATTCACAACATATGCAAGCCTAAATGCTGCAGCAGCCCACAAATAAGCTTAGGGTATACTCCAAGAAAGCAAGCTTGAAGGTGTAAGCTACAGCCTGAAGTCAGGGCAGCTGGGGCAGGGAGAGCTGCACCCAGCACAGCAGCCTGAGCACAGCAATGCTGGCCACGCTCACAGCTGGTGCTTAAACCTTCAAGGGTAACACTGCTCCCCAGAGCTGCAGTCAGCAGCTTTAAGTCTGTTCCTCTCCTGCAGTTCAGTGGGAAGAGAGGCACGGCACTCTCGGCAGGGACGATGGAGCACACAGGTCCCTCGCACTGGCAAGCTTACGGCATTGGAGGCCGGGCAGTGATCAGGTCAGCGGCTGTTCAACGATAAGGGGCTCAGCTGGGCAAAACTCTGCTGGAGCCAGCTTAAAAAAGCAATGCTGAAAGGCAGCACACAGTAAGAACCAGCACGAGCCAGATTTAACAGGTACCCTCAACAGCAACTGCAGCAGCTCCCAGTCACAACCCATCCAAGCGAGAGTCTCTGCACACAACGCGTCACCAGCTCCTGCAGCCTGGCAAAGTCAATTCACAGGCAACAGCAGCACTGAAGGCATCAGCAGTAACTGGGGCTCCTGGGGGGATTCACTCAGCCATCAGAAACAAGCCCTCCTGGGGCACACTGCTGAGAAATGGGACGAGGGCACTTCCTGAAGCCGCCGTCACCCGTGACGCTGCTGTGCACACTGCGGATGCGCACACTCCTGCGTGCTCCCTTCCGCAGGGCGGCCTCTGAGCAGCTCTGGTCTTCACCAGCCACGGTTCTACCCTCCAAAAAGGCTTTCATTCGTTCTTTTGTTTGTTTCTGGCAGCAGTGCTCCTGGTACATGAACCTGTCCACCCAGAACTGCGACCACATCCACTTGCTGCCGTCATCTAGACCCAAAGCACGTTCACCACCAGAGCGAGAACCAGAATCAAGCAGGAAACGTGATCAAGGACGAATCAGGCCTTGCAGCACTGGATAAAAGACATTAGGTACAGAAGGGAAAGAAAAGAGAGCAGCAGAAATGATGACTTTGGAAATCAGTTATTTTTAGAGCTGGCTCTCCCAGCACCAAAGATATTCAGAGCCCTTCAAGGGAAAAGAAAGAAATCAAAGGTAAGTGCACAAACGGCAGTGCCAGAAGAAAGCAGCCAGCGCTTCAAAGTTTACTGCTGTCACAACACCCGAGCCTGCACGGCTGGCCCAGTTCTGTCCTTTGCTGTGAAGAGGCCGCATCAGGCTGGGCTCTGCTGCGCCACAGCAAGCTCACAGGAGCCCCACCAGCCCCACTGGAGCCGTGCCACACGTGTGCTGGGGAACGGAGGAGTGCTGCTCTGTGCCCAGGACGGCTGTGAATCTGCCAGGCAGGACAGAGCACAGTGCTTGAAAGAGGGGAGGGAGGCAGAATGGCACTTTCATCCTTGCTTTTTAAAGCTTGCTATCATTCGACGCCCAAGATGAAGGGTCAGGGAGAGTTTCTCCCTGTACACTCGACAGCCTGCTGCCCTCCCAGCTCAGGCCGGGGGAGGCCTACACCCGGGCCGGCACCGCTCCGGCACCAGCACTGAGGCTCGGCGAACGGCGCGGGGCCGGGCGGGGCTCCTCCGCTCACACCGCACCCGCCTCGGCCCA